GCGTGGCCCTCAGGAACCAGGGCCGTCAGCAGCTGGCTGGGCCTCAGGCCGCCCACACAGCCTCTTGGTTTCTGCAGGGCGCAGCAGCCAGGGAAAAAGTCATGGAGATAAAGAGACGGGGGTGGAGACCCTGGCGAGGCCTGCGCGCCTCTGCTCGTCCCACTCATGGGGGCAGTGACCCCAGGACACCTAGTGGGTGGCAATGTGGCACCTGTGTCCCAAATAAGCAAGTTGTGCACATGGAGCCTGTGGAGCTGGATGTGCGTGGCACCAGCACATGTGACCTTTTCGGCACAGAGACCCAGTGGCCGGCTGGGCCTGGCAGGAACTCAGTGAATGCCAGCATGACGGAGGTCACACTGGGGGGCACAGGTGTCAGCTGCCGCTGTCATAAAACTTGGAGTCCAAGACCCCACGGTGCCTTGAAATAATGCTTGGGCAGTGAGGAGTGGTACTGCACTTAGGAGGCTGAAGCAGGAGGGTCACTGTGAGTGTGAGGCCAGCCTTGGCTTCACAGCAGGACTTGTTTGAAATAAAAAAGAAAAAAAGAAATCTTGCCCTAGGGAGCTTCGGTGCCGGCCAAGAACTTGGGGCCGAGTCGCAGCCCACTGCTATAGTGACCACGTAGCATAGTGGCCGAAGCCAGAGCCAGGGACTCACCCTGGAGGGGCTCCCAAGCAGTGGGGAGGAGCGGCCAGGTGACAAGGCATCAGAGGATGTCCTGCAGAGGGGTGGCTGTTTCTTGGGAGTGGTAGCGTAGAGGACAGGGAGTCATTTACCTTCCCCCCATCCTCCCGAAAGAGAATGAAACCGAACTCGAGTGGTAGGTCAAGGCACGGACGCAGCAGGTGCTTGGAACCTGGCGCACAGGTGCAGGGCTCACCGCAGCTGCAGCTCTGTTGGGCTGCCAAGGGCCCTGCCAACTAGGGCATCCTCAGCCGGGCACAGTGCCTCTAAGGCAGAGTCCCCCAGAGCCAGCTCGTAAAGAGGAGAAGCTTGCGGGGCGGGATGGCACATGCCTGTCATCCCGGCACTTGGAAGGCTGCGGCAGAGGGATCGCTACAAGGCTGAGGCCAGCTGGGCTACATAGTGAGCAAAGGCCAGCATGAATGATGTCTCAAAATACAAAAAAACAAAACAAAACAAAAATCGCTAAATAAATAAATAAATAAATAGTGCTTGCTCGCTTCTTTCTCTATTTAGGGTAGGGCCGATATGTTCAAATCTCTGCCCTGGCCCAGCTGCAATTGCAAGCCAGGTGTTGACTCATTTCTCCCCTCCCTCCACCCTTCCATTCACACTGGGAATTTCAGGCTGTAAAACAAACCAAACCTGTCCCCGGCTTCACACAGCCGGCCCACAGGGCAACACCTTCCTTTGATGGCATACTGGCGGTGTCTCAGAAGAATGGAATTCCTATAAACGCAAGTGCTGCGTTCAGCCCAAACCAATTAAAAACTACTCTCACAATGAATTCCAAATATTGTGCTTCAACAAAACAATGCACTGCTCTCACGCCTGTAAACCCGCCCCCCAGCACACACAGGAGCACACAGTGCCCTCATCGCTATCTCCACACACTCTCGGGCCACGCTGTGGTGCCCAGGAGATAACGCAGGGCCTAGGGCAGCCCAACTCCCTGCTCCCCTTCCATGGGGACTCGAGCCTTCTCAGGATAGGAAAGATTTGGCGCAGGGAGCACAGCTCACAGCTGACAGACAGGATTAGAAATTGAAACACAGTGTCTCCTATCTGACATAGCTTCCTTGCTGGGGGACAGGAGGCCAGGGCTCATTCCCACCCCATGCTGTCTCTCACTCTGGCCAGGCTCCACATGGAAGGCAAGACATGCAAGGGGCTGCCCTGGGGAGAGTCCAAGGGTCGCAACTGGCTCTGTTGCAGCAGGCCAGGTTTGTGCTGTGGCTGGGCCCTTGCTGAGAATGGGCTCGTCCCTCTCAGCCTAGAGGGAGATACAGAGTGCCCAGGTCTCCACAGTGGCCTGAGGGACAAGGGCCCAGGCAGGGACCACACACCATGCGAAAGAACACCAGCCCTGGCTCAGCACTCCTCTGATGCCCCAGGCAGCGGTGAAACCTGGCACATGTCTCACGGGGAGCTCTTTGCTGCTCGTGGTTTTTAATGTTAGTCTTTTGAGACAGAGCCTTGATATTCAGCCCAGGCTGGCCATGAACCCAGCGACCCTCCTGCTTCAGCCTCTTGTGTGGGAACTACAGACGTGTAGACAGTAGCTGTGATGTAATCTACTTTGCAGTGTAAGGATTCTGATGTCAGCATGGGGAAGATATACTGGTCAGGTCTTTTGTATCCCTGGGCTTGCTGTTTCCTTAAGTTTCTGTGGTATCCACAGGGAAAACAAGGAACCAAAAGCCACACCAAGCTGCCATCCCACCTCCTTCCATCCTGCTCTGCGGCAGGCATCCCTGCTGGGGCTGCCTGGTCCACCAGGCTTCTGCCCTCTGCCCACTTTATGACCTGGTCTGGTTGCCACCACCTCCTCTGGTCCTCAGCTCCACCACCACGGCCAGCCAGAGTGTGGGGCTAAGCTGGAAGGACCCCAGGCAGCTCAAAGAACTTACCTCTTCTCCAGACTTCTGCTACTGGGGATTGGGCCTCAGGCCTCGGCACTGAGCCATATCTTCAAGCCTGCTATAGTCTGAGTCAGTATCTCACTAAGTTGCTAACTTGCCCAGCTGAGCATGAACTTGGGATTCTCCTGCCTCAGCCTCCCAGAGTGCAGGGAGTCCAAGTGTATGCCACCTGTAGCTCTATTTATTTTAGATCTCAGGCTTGGTGAGGCCCTTACTTCATACAAGCAGATGAATCTCATTGTTGCTGCAAACTCTTCAGGTTTACTTTTTTGTTGGTGGGGTCAGGTGCGGCTGCAGAGACTGGGAATCTCTTAAGGTTTACACTTGAGCAAGAAACGAACTTCCCAGCCGGTGAGATAGCTCAGTGGACTATGCACCTGCTTAGGCAAGGGCAGGGACCAGGGTTCGTTCCCTGGTACCACAGCAGAGTGAGCCACTGAGACTAGGCATGGTGGCACATGCCTGTGACCCCAGCACTGGGGAGGCTAAGACAGAAGGATCACTACGAGTCTGAGCTACATAGTGAGACCCTGTGCCAAATATGTTAAAAA